GCCTCTTTTTATTTCTCTAAAAATTCATTTTTTGAGGGGAGAGAGGTTGCCTTCCACACTCAGAAAGCCTAGTGGTACCAGGCTGATTTGAAATTCTTATACAAGTTGACTAACTGCCAAGATATAACCTTAACAATTAGTAGTTTCAAACCTAAAGCCAACAGCACCAAATCTTCATCAGAATACGAAGTATACGTACAGTGTTTCTACTTTCTTACCTGGAGGGTTCAGACCACTTGAGAAGTTTCTCTGCTGGAAGACCAGTCTCCACGTGCACACCATCTTGTACCGTATACAACAGTGTAGTTTTAGTGACATAAAACTAGCTTCGGTTTTAAATATTTCTTTCAAATGTTTCATTAAATTTTAAAGAATCACTTAAACACAAATTTCCCGTTTCCTAAATGGAACCTTGGAAATCCCCAAAGGAGGCCTGCTTGGGTCCACCAGCCGGTATCAACTCACAGAAACACTGTGCGACTTACTTTATGTGGGAAATGGAAAGGGTTTAGCTTTTGTTACCTGCTGTGATTATAGGGCAAGAAAGAGAACAAATACAAGTTTATGACAAACTTTAAAACTCAGTTCACTGTATTCTTTTCTTGTGATACAGACCAAAGAGGGCACAACTCCATTTCTTTAAACACAGTCATGTAACCCAATTAAAAAATCCTCACTCTTCATACCCTCCATCCAAACTATAAACCCCAGGTTCGTTTTTATGTGTATCTGTAGGGATTCAAAAGCTCCCACTCCCCTTAAATAGTCAACCTGGCACAGTTAGAGGGGCTCAGGCATTCCAGAACTTGCCCGTGAAATGGACACCACAGTTTTACAGTCTAGCGAGGGGCAGAGAAGTCTAGTATGTAAATGTATGCTGTCTGCACCAAGCGACATGGCTTTAGTGGAATCTACAGAGAGAATCTGAAACAAGTCTTTGGTTGATCAAGCCTAGGATGCAAACTTCTGTATCTCCTGTTGTTGGTGCTGCGTACTGTCAAGTGGCTTCTGACTCACAGCGACCCCATGGGACAGAGTAGAACTACCCCACCAGGTCATCTCATACTGGCTTGAAGTAACTTCTGGCAAATATCTATCTGCTAAAACAAGGACTGATCTTGTTTTGTTACAGCAATGTCACTTCTCATTTTCTCTGGTAATTGGTTTACCTTTTTTAGACCATTTGTGAATTTCTGTCTAAAGATGTATAATGTAAAATAACTGCAAGAAAAAAATGTATAGATTGTAAAGTTTTTTTTGATACCTAATGTAAGTTTTCTGTGTAATATTTATATGATAAAAGATATTAGGCTCCCTACAACATAAATCTGTTGTGTTTCTTCTAGTCGTGCATGTGTAGAACCTCCACCTGAATTTTCACAATCATCTAGAGCTGACACCGGCCCCCGCTCTATTAACCAAACCAAGTTTTCCTGGAAGGAAAAGCAAAGCAACTAAATTATTCAATTTTGGTCCTTTTGAATCTTTTATAACATGAAGGAGCAGCAGAGAAATATTTAACCTCTTCTCACCTCATTTGCATAATGACTCACTGCAATCTCCAAATATTAAGTCTATAAACATTTAATGTAAAAGGAGACAAACTTGAAGTTGTCATTCTCTGTGGCTTTCAGCTTTAATTCCACAGTTTCACGTAAGCAAACTAGCAAGTAAAGAAGAGAAATTTTGAAACTGTGGATGAAATTGGTAAAAACCTCATGCGGCTGAGTTGATTTCAACTCATAGCGACCCTACAGGACAGAGGAGAACTGCCCCATAGGGTTTAAAAGGAGCAGCTGGTAGATTCCAACTGCTGACCTTTTGGTTAACAGCTGAGCTCTTAACCACTGCGCCACCAGGGCTCCTCATTAGCTCTAAGCAAATAAAAAAAGCTTACAAATAACCAAGAATTTTTATGTTTTCCTATCCTGAATACATTTCTTTGAAGGGTTAGTTTAAAAAAATACACGCCCAAGACTGCAGTATACACAATATTCACTTTTAAACTTAACGTTATTTTCAGTTTCACCACAGGGTTTACTGT